TTTTTATGCCCATTGCCCCCAGTGTATAAAACTTTCTTCCCATGGAATCTAGTTTCTTCCCCTCCTTTTCAGGTGGAGTAGAGTGACTTGATTTTCCTTTTGTGGAAGACGACACGACTAGGGAATTTGGTTTGGGGTGGGTGAAAAGGAATTCAACCCCTGTCTCTTGAATCTTATACATGTGATCGAATCTTTCATTAGACACAGTGAGAGAAGAGAGATGAACCCAAAGATCTTTTGTAGTTTTTAACAAGACTTTAGTCATGGGCAAGGCCACTGAGGATGAAGTGCCAGCCTGCATAATATCGAAGACATTGTCATCCACCATTTGTGATATCAAAGTAGTGGTCATAGACAGGTCTAGTGCCATTCTTTGAACAAAGTCCCCATAAGATTTTATGTCTTCCGACGGTGAAATGGGGAGGTCTGCTTCCACATCAGGAGGTGGAGAAGGCATGTCTGTATCATCCCCTTGATTTGATGTATCATCAGAACTGGATGAATCCTCAGGCAGTTCCGGGGAAGGAACGGGCATAATTGGAGGTACCTCTATTGGTATCGATGAGTTCGACAGTGGAGGCAAAGCTGGACACGGTCTTTGTGGCGGTATCGACGGTCTGGAAGGGAGATCTCTAAATTGCGATAACCTGGACGACACCAACTGACGATCCCACTCCGTCGGGGGCAGTGGTGGAGGTGGAAGGACCCATGGATATGGGTACCAATTGCCATAAAGATATTGCCATTGTCGCTGATCCCAGGTTAGGGGAGGCGAGGGAGGTGGTCGGTGTCGATCATCGGCATCGTAAGCTGGCGAGGCTTCGATAGACTGGTAGCTAGACTGCTCAGATTCAGACAATGGAGCCTGTTGCGTAAGGTCCATATCGGGGTCAGGGCCGAGAGGTTGGTTGCCGTCCAGAGGCAGTGAATCTGGGGCACGACCTTGACTAGCCGACACCTTATGGACTTTGGATTTTGTGTCCTTTTTAAGCTTGGGAGGCTTAATCTTGGTGTCTTTGCCCTTCTTCCGGATCTTGGAAGGTACGGCATCAGTTAACCCCTGCTTCCGGATCTTAGAAGGTATGGGGCTGTCACTGGTCGATACTGACTGTTTCGGTGCCGAAGCATCGATAGCAACTGTCGACGTCGAATTTCCCGAAGCTGGGATAAGAGCGTCCGGAGTCAAAGTAGACACTGAGGCATGTCCCGATGCATCAAGTGGCGATGAAGACTGTGGGGAAAGAGCTTTCTCCATGAGCGCCAAATGAAGTCGCGCAGCTCTATTCTTCCGAGTCTGATTGGGAAATTTTTGGCAATGTTTGCACGAGGAAACACGGTGAGATTCCCCTAGGCACACCAAGCAATTAGAGTGTCCGTCTGTGGGGGAGATTTTCAGTCCACAGGACTTACACCGCTTGAAGAAACCCCACCGCGGGGCCATAGGCCAGCGGAGGGGAGACAAAACAACTTTAAACCCAAAAGAAAAATACTAACTATAAGGGAAAAATAAAGGCTAACAAACACGGAATTGGAAAGTGAAACTAGTACTTATCAGACCGAGGCAAAAAGGTGTCCTACCAGCACGGCGGTCAGAGAAGAACTGGCGGGATCTGCGTGCCCCTCCTTGGTCATGCGCAGTGGAGCCCGGCACGTGACCTAGGAGCGGGCGCGAAAATCCCTTTGGCTAGCTACCGGTACCGAGCAGGGTCAGCGCAGGCGCAGACTATCCCAAGGGTGTGATGCACAGAGACCACGAAGAAGATTAAAAATTCTACTACAGGTTTCCTATGTTCATGAAGCTACTTTTTTCCATTCTAGATCTGGTTAATTGCTAAGCTCCCTGCCATATTTAAAAGCAGCTACATACCTTTGAGAAACAGAACTGCACTGGAAAGTATCTTATGCAAGTCTATGTATTTGGAATCAATCTCTTGAGGAAGAGATGCATGTGTACGTAGTATCCTTTTTCTTTAGTATTAAAATCACCATAATTACATAAAAAGGTAGTTACATGATAACTGTGTCCTTATTGTCTCAGTGCCCCTTTAGGATAAATTTGGATGATTGAAGGCAGTAGCTTTCATGACTTTGCACTGTCTTTATTGGATCAGACTGGGAAATGGAGCAAGCTTAGAGTGGTACCTGCCTCATACACTGGTAACTACTCTGACCTTGGTTACAGTTTTCCAGTATGACCTTAACTATTCTGTCTGGAAGGAGAGAGAAATGCAAGCTAATTCAAGGCACATGCAGAGGCATACACACATAGACAGCATTCAAACATCCAATTAAATTTACATGCTCACACACACACCAATCCATTTTTGTCTGATGACTATGCAGAAGTTGTTTTTGAGAAGAGCAAAATTATTTTTAGACTCTCAGATGATTATGTTTAATATCAAAGATTAGATACCATTGGATGATGCTTCAACAACCACAGTATGTATAAATGCTGTAAAACTGCAATGCAACCTTTCCAAATGTGTTAACTCTCAATAGTTTCTAATCTGTATAACAGAAAGTAATAAGGAAAGGTATTTTCAGTACATAATAAACCACCATCACACAGGGGAACAGCTAAGATGACATCCCTAAGAAAACACATGGGCCATCTAGAGAAAGCCGCACACAGACTGCAAGGGGGGGGGTGTCAATGGCTTTCTGTCTGCCAGGTTGTCACAGTTCCCTGCCCAGTGTTCTGTGCTATGTCTCCATCTGCTGAATTGACAGGTTAGTCTAATTATGGAATTAAAAAGAGAGTAAAATCTAGTGCACAATTATTTTCTAGCCTAGCTAAATAGCAAGGCTGCATTCGGATACCCTAAATGCATACATTGTTAACCATGGCAAGTTCCAGCACAGACTTTTATCCTTTGGTTAATGCCCTTCTAAGCCAAATTGACCAGTAGTTGTTAAAACACTAGGTTGAGAAGATGGTAGGGTGTGGATTGGCTCACTTGTTCAAAACTTCTTGAGCTATCTGATCTGCAGGCACCTTTCCTTTCATTTGCACCACTGGCGTTCTGCACTGTGCAGGTTGATGGGGAAGGGCTTGATATTCTTGTGGTCCTAACATCTAAAGGTGAGGTTGGATTAGGTGTCTTTTCAGTCCTAACTATAATTCCATGCCTAACACTGGAAGCAAGTGAAGACTGCTGTTTATAAAGCAGATCAATGAATGAAAGGACAGAACTATCCATGGAGCTAAATACATACGATACATAATGGACAGATATAATGTGAATGTACCAAAAGGTGGAACAGGTGGTTCTATTTACTTTGCATAAAATGCTGCTTTAATTATGGTGGTGTAAGACATATCCTGTGCTGTCAAAACAATATCTTAGTTGCTATGAACTCTCAGCCTAGGACAGGGGTATAAAACTAAGTGCATATGTAACAGCATCTACATCTGACATCAGTTCAAACATACTCAATGACGTAGAGCTTCATAAATAAAATAATTAAAAAAGCAAATCCAGTTACTTAGATTCTAAAACTTGTGGTTATGTAGCTGGAAAAGTAATTGGAAAAATATTGTGTGTCAGACACCCAATTTAAATAGTCTAATTAGGAAATCACATCTTTGATGTATTCCAGTAACACATACCAGAAGGAAACCTCAGGCAAAATCAGAGATTGTTATGTTTTCTCCAGTAAACAATTATTTCTCTCTCTGTCTCTCTGTTGCTACACCAATGTGGTTTCCCATAACATTTAAGTACAAGGGGTTTTTTTTCCTTACATGGCAAGAAGTAACAAAGCTGTTTACTTGTTTTTTCTTGCCCTTAGGAAGGTGCATCCACGCTACTTATACAGCCTACTCTATGCATATCTCCTTAACAATTATGACAGGGTTTACAGATCTTACATAAAGTAAGACCATGTGATAAAGGCAGAAAAATTACAAAGTGATAAAGTCTTCCTGAGTGATCTTTATTGCCTCTCCCTGGTAAAAATCACAAATTACCACATCAAAATAAAAAGTAGGATTTTGGCACATCTAAAACTAAGCAAGATTGTTGAGAGTTTGGAGACTTAAGACCGCAAGGAAAAATTCACAAGCTCTGGGCCGATCCCTTTACAAAGGATCACTGCCAAGTACAAATATGTTGTCTAGATATGGAGCAAATCTACAAAAGGTTGCAAAGTCACTGCTAGGTTGGTGCCAGGGAATGAGCCAGGAAAACAAGAGAGCAAAAGGCCTTTTATTGAACCAGCTGTTGCCCTAATAAAAAATGATACCACATGCTACAATTGCCTTAGACAAAAACAAGGAAGTGTGCAATTCAGTGGGCTCTTACATGAGTAACTCATCTTACAGTATTTTGTTCGCATGGCACAGGATATGTGGTAGACAACATTGTTCTGTGGCCCCATTTTACCTAGCAAAATATAAACTTTTATAGGCAGCCATAAAAATGTCCTTACTTTTCTCACTGTTTCAAAACAGGATTGTACTGTATTTTAAAATGGTTTCAGGCTTACATAAATGAAACGTGCTCTGGAAAAATTAGATTGCTTTTTAGGACAACAGCAATTTCTTGAATTTAATCAATACTTCCTTTCTAAGTAGAAATATCCAGGTAGAAAAGTGTCCCCCCATTCTATGTTACGAAAAGTCACTTCACTGCAGTTCCTCCAGCCACAGAATGGGTACGTGGATGGGTGGTTTAAAAACCAGGACAGTACAAGTTAACCTCATACTCAAAATGTCCACCACAACACAGAATATGCAGTTAGTGGCAAGATCATAACTAGGAGATACTAAAATTAAACCACATATAAATATTTCATTTTTTAAAAATTAAAAATTGTAAGTAATTAAGTTGTTTATAAGCAGTATCACAACTGAACAGCATTAGTTTTATCTATGTTGCCCCCTAAATTGTTCTTTATGGTATGGCCTGAAGCCATTCTGTATTAAGAATGGGCATAAATGAAATTGAATTTCTAGGCAGTATTGAATATTTTATGTCAGTTTGAATGATGCTTACCCTGTATTGATGGAAATTATTTCTATCAGTGGGTTCTTTCTAATCTTGGGCAAATCCAATCGAGCTCCCCCCAACCGTTTTCCATTATCCTTTTTCTGACCCAGCAATCTCACAGAGTGACCTTGAAATAAAGGGAAAAAATATGGCACTATTATACACAAATCTTATTAGCTTTAATATATCCCACACAAATATTTTGCATATCTTAAACAAAGATGGATTAAACAGTCTGTCACTAACTTAACACTTACCTGATAACAGGAAAAACTGAGGAACTTCAAAATGAACTAAATATTTATGAGTTCCACCCACTGTATCTTGACAAACATATTATAAGACTTTTTTTAAAAAAATCTGCTTGCCAATTAACAGTTAAAGTAGAAATAGGTAGTATCGGTCAGTGGTTAGAGTATCAGACTAAGATCTGGATGACCCAAATCCGAATCCCCACTCTGCCAAAGAGGCTTGCTGGGTGACCTTGGTCCATTCACTCTCTTTCAGCCTAACCTACCCCACAGGGTTGTTATGAGGAGAAAACAGAGGTATGATGTAAGTGGCTTTGGGTCTCCATTGGGAGAAAGGAGGGATATAAATGAAGTAAATAAAGAAATAAATATAGTTCTATTCATTTGAAGGTTTTAAAATGGTATCTAAAGAAGAGGGGAGTATACTCTGCTGGTGATAGTTCTCACAAGCAAATGAAGAAGATTCAGAAAGTGAAATTTCCACATCTCACTTAAAATAAAAGGCAATACAGTTCATTTATTTTGAAAAATTATATGTGGCCTCTCTAGAGACCTGCTTGAGGTGGTTTACAAATAAGGTCATAAAGCAAAGCCATTAAACCACAACCATTAAAAAAATAAGGTGATACTCTTAAATCAAGCCAGAGCACAAAAACAGCATAAAATAAACATTAAACAGCCTAAAGCGATACAGATAAAATAAAGGACAACAATACGTTCAGGGCAGAACCTCATACGTAGATGAAGTTTTACCTGATGCTGCCACTGAAAACTTTTTTCCAAGCAAGGGCCAGGGTGCCCCACTTTAAATAGCTGAAGTTCTACTGCAGGCACACCTATCATTTCATTAGGTCACAAGTTACAGAAACATTCTTCAAATACCATTTTCGTCTATTTGCCGTCTTTCCCAATTTATTTTTAAATGACATAAGCAGCATGGAGACTGTTCATGGAAGTGGTGCGGCAAGCTGTTTGTGCATAGCAATGTTCACAACACTGTGAAAAGTAAAGTCAGTTTCTGATGATGTGGTAGGAAAAAATGGCAGACTGCATGACAAAAGCCTCTGCTTGCTCCACGAAGCAGCTTCCATGCAACTTCTTTGTACAAGTCGCTGCCATATTACTGTTTCATTTGTAAAGAGATCGAGTAATTTTTATTTATTCCAAGCTATGGACTGGGCTCTTAGCCCTGAGACAGTTTATAATGCAAGATCAGCAATAAAACCTGATTCTTCTAAAGCCAGTATTTAAATATACAAAAGCAAAAGTCAAGTTTCAAATCCTTAAGCATCTTGAAAGGCAGCACAACAATGAAACCAGCATACTGCAAGGAATTTCACACACAGCTAAAAGTGAGAATACAAAACACAGAAGGAAGACAGCTTAAATCCAGTCTAGCATTTCCACCTATGGAGCACCCTCCCTCTCTGACAGCCGCTCCAAATGCTCCTGGGCTGCTACGGGAGGGAGGAGGTGAGAAAGTCAGGCTCTGGTCTGGATCCCAGTGAGTGCTTGGGTAAAAAGAAAAATCTTCACCTGACACTTAGAATCAGATCTTCTTGGATTAGTTAGGCTGGATCATCAAAAGAGTGATTGGGACAAATACTTGGAATCCAAATTATTTATGTTTGGTCATCACCTGTTTGATAGAAACTACGAGTAGCTGTGAATTGAGTCAATCAATTAAAAGATATTTGAGGGATCTTGATTATAAGAGTATGCTGGTTACAGCTTGTAGGATATGTTCATTCTTTTCAGTTGGGATTCTCCCCCCCCAAAAAAAATGCCATGCTACCTGTTGGAATCATCTCTTCTAAAATGCAGAAGGGCATTTATGTTTGAGTGTTTGAACGCCTTGCCATTGGCGATATTGCCAGGAAGGGTTTTGTGGTTCTTTTGTATTTCTGCATTTGTGTGTGTTTGTGTGTGCATGTTCCTGTGCCTGGAAGTCATGGAGACCTCTGGTGACTCCTACTGAGGCATGAAGGACGTTCAGAGAAATGGGCTTGATAGTGTGTCTCTGCCTCCCGGCCCTGGTATTCTTTGGCAGTCTCCCATCCAAATACTTGCCAAGGTCAGCCATGCTTAGCTTCTGAGATCTGACAAAATTGGGCTTTCCTGGGCTATCCAGGTCAGGGTGTTGTCAGGAAGTTTTAATGGTATTCCTTACAGATTCTGCGGATGTGGTATTAACTGTATTGACTCCACAGATCCTATTCTTTTGGATTGCCCTCAGTTTTCAGATTTGACAGCTGAACTGATTTTTCCTTTGCTTAAGCAGGCCTCTGTCTCTCCAGAAGCTAAACTTTCTTGGTTCCTAAGAGACTAAGACAAACAAGTAACTTGGGTGTGGCTAAATTTTTGGCAGCTGTAGTAAAATCCCATTGTAACTCAGGAATTAAATGTTAGGCTTCCCTTTTAGTGTTTGATGGCTCGCTGTTTATGACTTTTGTTGTGAAAACAGTAATTAAGAAGATTATGTGCCAATGTCATTTCCGGGCAAAAACACGGATGTGATGTCAGCACATTGAGTGACTCTCCAGAAACTCTATGGTTTCTAGTCTGGGACCCATCATCATTTCCATCCCTTGCCCCACCCTAAAGCTCCAGGTGATGCCTGGCATCTCTAGTCAGCAATCTTGCTGTTGTGGCATGCAGCAAGTGAGGTTTCCAAATGAGAGAAGGCCAGCACAACACACTGCAGTACTTTGTGCTGGATGGAATTGGAACATGTGTAGCCTGTTATTTTCACTTTAAAATATTGTTCTAAAAAGTTAAGGAAGTGGCATCTATCAGTCTGTACCCAAAGAACAAAAGGACATGGAGCATGAGCAGTTCATAAAGCTGATCCTGTATTAAGAACTAAAAAGTCCCACCCCTCAGTCTGGCCAGCCAGCAGTAGGAGAGAGAAGGCCTGGAGCCTGAATTGAGGAAGCTGCTAATCTTTGTATGCAGTGGTCCCCAAACAGGGACATGTTGCAGATTAGAATTCCTGTTTCAGAAGGTTTTATGAAAGAAAGGTTTTTTTCAAGTTGCTGGTTGACCTGTAGTTATGGTGTTGTTTAAAGGATTTGCCTCTGTTCAGTGTTCTGTTACTAAGGAAGGCTGAAGATCCTATATCTACAAATTTCATTATGAACAAATTTAGAATCCAATGACACTAAATTCGTTCTACTGCTTCAGACTAACACAGCTGACCACCTGGATGCAAATATCACTATGGTCATCACTAGGGTTGCCAGGCCCATGCTGGTAACCCCTGGGACCTTCTGAAAGTAGAGCATGGGATGACGATGTCACCTAAATTCTAGCCTGTGCTTCACTAGGGTTCCCCCCAAGCTCTATGATACAGACCACAGAGAGTGAGGAAATTCCTAGAGTGTCATGAATGCAGCAGCTGGAAATGATGTCACTGTATCTGTACCATCAACACCTTCCCTTAGTTTTTTCTCTGCTGTGAGAGCAGGTGAGAACCAGCGGGGCAAGTGATCTGATAAGCCTATACATAGCATCTGTTTTAATTATATACAGGCTCTGGGGGAGTGCTCTGGCTTTGGGCAAACAGTGTCATTTTGCTGTGGTGACCTCAGCAGGGTATAATGGCAGAGTCCACTGTTTTCTCCAGAGGAACTGATCTCTGCTCCCTGAAGAGCAGTTGTAATTTTGAGTGATCTGTAGCCCTCACCTGGAAATTGGCAACAATTGTTACCCAGGACGAAATGGCTGGTTTGGAGGGTGGAGTCTATGGCATTCTACCTGTCTGATGTCCCACCCCTCCGCAAACCCCACCCTCTCCAGGCTCCACCCCTCAAATCCCCAGGAATTTGCCAGCCTGGAGTTGGCAACCCCATCTCCTTCGCAGCTAACCATCAACCTACCATTATCTGCCCCTTTGACTTCAGCTGACTTCCGCCCTCCCTTCTGCAGAGCAATTGTAATTTTGAGTGGTCTCCAGCCCTCACCTGGAGATTGGCAACAATGGTTCCCCATGAGGGACTGAGTGGTTTGGAGGGTGGAGTCTATGGCATTGTACCTGTCTGAGGTCCCACCCCTCCTCAAACCTCACCCTCTTCAGGCTCCATCCCTCAAATCTCCAGGAATTTCCCATCGGGAGTTGGCAACCCTATCAGGATTGGCCCCAATATGTTTTCTCCCAAAGGCCAAAGTAGGTGACTGGACCAAACTTAGTTGCCTACCAACAGGCACTGAGGGGAAAGTAGGGTTGCCAGCTATAAGGAGGGAAATACCTGGAGTTTTGGGGGGTGGATTCTGTAGAGGGCAGCATGGGGGGGGGCGGAAGGACTCAGCAGGTATAATGTCATAGGGTCTACCCTCCAAAGCAGCCATTTTCTCCAGGGGAAACTGATCTCTGTCATCTGGAGATCAATTGTAGCAGTGGGAGATCTCCAGGTCCCACCTGGAGATTGGCAACCCTAGGGGAAAGTCAGCTGCACAGCAGGGGGTTGAAGAGAATGGTTTGATGGGTGCTGGGCCAAGATTGGCAACAATAGTTCCCCAGGAGCAAATAGCTGGGTTGGAGGGTGGAGTCTATGGCACTGTAACCTGTCTGATGTCCCCCTCTCCGGCCTCCACTCCTCAAATCTCCAGGATTTTCCATACCTAAAGCTGGCAACTTTATCTCCTCCCCTCTCAGTAGCCTCTTATTTTGCCTTAAATTGGTTTTGATGCCAGCAGAGTGAGAAAATGCCAGAGGCTCTGGGTGGGTGCCTCATCGTAAATGCACCAAACAATTCCTAAACTGCCTGTCTTCAAGTTTACTTCCCCCCCCCCAGCCACTGCCTAGGGAAAGCAGCTGTCATCATTCTCCTCTCCCCCTATGAGGTATGTTAAGGTTGGAAGTGTGTGAATGGTCCAT